TATACACAAAAATTATTGTCGGACCATACAAAAATTCCCTGAGAAAGATAGAGATTGTTTAAATTGTTATCATTTAAAAATCTCCTTATCTCCTTATTTATTATTTTAAATTCTAAATTTTAAATTAAATTTTAATATATATAATATATATATATATATTCTAAATTCTAAATTTTAAATTAAATTTTAATATATATAATATATATATATATATATATAGATTCGTTGAAGAACTTCAGCGCTGTTTTCGTTGCGGTTGTGTATCAAATCTTACGTTGATGATGTGTACTGTTACCAAGTCATCAGCGGAAATAGACACGGATCTGCTTGCGAGGGCAGTTGACAGAAGTAAACAGGAATTGATGATTAAAATTGATGGGTTGGCTGATGCCAGTAAAATCATTGAATCGGAGCTCCGGAATATCAGATGTGCAGTAAAATTGAAGCAACATTTATCATGCTGTTGATGAGATGCGTACGGGCATTGGTGGAGTCAGTACATCATGGACCGATATAGTAAGCAAAGAGGTTAAAAAAAACATTGATATAATTAACGTTGAAGTCAAAAATGTGCAAAAAAAGTTGAATGATGCGACAGATATCAAGGAGAGAGAAAAAAATTTGGTGCTTTTTAGACTTTGCTGAAGGAGACGACGACAAAGAACGTGTTATGAAGATTTTTAATCACTTGACTCGAAACGTTGCCAAGAATGCAGTTGTTAAAGTAACGAGACTGGGAAAAAACAAAAAAAATTAAACAGACCGTTATTGATTAGTCTTGATAGTGTTGAGTCAAAAAACTTAATAATGGATAATGTATCACGAATGAAATCGTTGGATGATGTCTTAAAAGGTGTTTGGCTTAGTCACGACCTATCAAATGATCAGAGAGATGAGTTGAAAAAGTTGATCAATGATGCAAAAAAGCAGGAATCTGTAAGCGGTGATTTTTTATTCAGAGTGAGGGGACCTCCGGTAAGATGGAAAATAGTAAAGTTTCGGAGGGATCAAAAACTGAACGAAAAAGTTTGATTGAGAGAGATGGCACTGATGGTAGCGTTGATGATATTGATTTTGATGGAGTAAACGTTGAAAGTTGTTTTAGATATGCAAATAATAAAAGCTATTATGGTAAGTGTCAATATAAAATCTCAAGTCTTGATGTGTGTGGTGAAAGGGGGTGTAACAATAAAAATGCAATAGGTAAATTTCAGTATGTTGAGGATGATAAAATCAACGAAAGTTTTAATGAAGCATCTGGTAAAGGTAAGCCTGCTAAAATTGGAAATGAGGAGCGATCGGTGGTTCTGGGAGTTTTAAATATCAGATCTATAATAACAAAATTCAGCTCTATTTATGGTTTGATTCACGAAAGCCTGGACATCTTTGTTTTGACGGAGAGCTGGCATGGTTCGGCAGATAATATTTCCATTGAGTTATCAATGCCACCTGGCTATAAGTTTTTAGACCGTTTAAGATCGCAAGACCCACACCATGGAGGTTTAATCATTTTTTTCCCGATCAATTTTTAGATATAAAAAGATCACTCTGCCACTGGTTACTGTTTTCGAAGTTCTGGCGGTGAAACTTAAAATTAATGAATTAGATTATATCCTACTGGCAATTTACAGACCTGGATCTGAACAATTAACGACATCATTTTTTGATGAACTGATTTCGGTCTTAGAACGTGTTACAATCATTAGTTCCCGTATTTTTTTAGCGGGAGATTTTAACATTCACATGGAGAGGTCGAACAATCCAAACGTTGTTAATTTACATTCATTTGAAATGTTTCAGTTGATCAACCACATAGATGAACCAACGCATATTCTAGGAGGAACGCTCAATCTGATTGTGACGTCACACAATATAGCGGTCAGTGAAGCAAAGGAATCTATTCTGATCATGGTTTGGTACAGGTTAGTTTATCAATAAAATTGACAAAGTCTCTGAAAGCAAAAAGATTGATCCGACTCTGGAATCGTTTTGATGAGAAAGCTTTCGCTGAGCAGTTACTTGAGTCTCCAGTGTCCAGACCGTGTAAAACTGATAATGTAAATGCAGAATTTGGTTCATTCAGTGACGAGGTAAGGAGAATTGTTGATAGGGTTGTTCCTCTTGTACTGGTGCTGCCTGGGCGCCATCATGTTGCACCGTGGTTTGATGATGATTGCAAGGCTTCAAAACGGAAATCTAGAAAAAAGAAAGAATTTTTAGAAAAAGTCGTATATTGTCTGATAAAAATGAATGGATATTGGCCCTTAAAGAAAAAACTGAAATTTTTTCAAACAAACGTAAAGTATATTGGAAGAAAATTGTCAATGAAAACAGTAAAACTCCAAAAAGCTTGTGGAGGGTGGTTAATAAATTTTTTCTAAAAAGTCACAGTGAAGGCACTAAACGCAAATTCAATGATTTCAATGCTGGCCAGTTCATGACTTTCTTTAATAAAAAAATTAAAGTGATAAAACAGGGGATTGACACTGAAAATCAATCTTGTCTTAACAGTGATGATCATGGATGTCAGCGGTTGTTTTCAACTTTTCTGGCGGTGTCTGAGGCTGATGTCAGGAAAGAAGTGCTTCATTCACCTTCAAAGTCCTGTCAACTAGATATTTTACCAACGCGTTTTTTTAAAAAGCATTTTGAATTGTTTTGTCCATTTATAACCAGTTTGATAAATCTGTGCATGAAGGTAGGTTGCTTCCCCACACTCTTGTAAACATGCAATTGTTGTGCCGTTGTTGAAAAAAAGTGATGCAGATCTAGGTGACGTCAGTAATTATCGACCAGTCAGTAATCTATCAATTATATCAAAACTCATTGAAAGAATGGTGTCCAGACAATTGCTTGCTCATTTGAATGATAATAATCTCCTGCCTGCACAATAATCCAGTTTTAGACGATTTCACTCCACTGAAACTGCCCTGCTACATGTTCTCTCAAGGGTTTATGCTGAGATGGATGCTCAAAACATTTCCTTGTTGGCATTTTTGGACATGAGCTCGGCTTTCGACTGTGTCAATCATGAAATGTTACAGTTCAGGCTGCATCAATATTTTGGAATATCTGGGGAAATAATAAATTGGCTCAGAAGCTACTTGATTGGCCGAACACAGCAGGTTTCGTTCAACGGGAGTTTGTCCTACGTCAGTGGGGTTCGCTCTGGTGTGCCGCAGGGATCTGTTTTGGGTCCTTTATTGTTTTTGCTTTATACATCTGATGTGCTGAAGATAATTGATTCTTATGATTTTAAAAGCCATGCATATGCAGACGACATTCAAATTATGTTATCAGGTAAACCGAAGTCATTTCAAGACGAGATTACGAAATTCATTGAATGTATGGCGGAGGTTAATCTGTGGATGTCGAGAAATGAATTGAAGCTTAATTTCTTCCTATTGGTATCTGGCAGCAGTTGGCAGACTTGGATATAAATTCAGTTGTTATGAATGATAAAAAAATAGATTTCTGTAAAGCAGTGTCGAATCTAGGTTTTATAATTGGTTCAAACCTAACAATAAAATCTCATTTTAAAATGATCTCTATATCATGCTTGGCAAAGATTAGAAGAATGAAACAAATTCGAGAATCACTTGATAAAGACGCAATGCAGACTCTGGCGCAAGCGTTTGTGCACTCACGTGTCATTGCAATAGTTTATTTTATGGAATCCCGGCTAGATCCATCAAAATTCTGCAATCGATACAAAACCGTACTGCCTGGATTGTGGCTGGATGTCAATGGTATGATCATGCCACAACGATCCTGAGTGATTTGCATTGGTTGCCCATAAATAAAAGAATTGTTTTTAAAATTGTTTATGTTTTCAAATCACTAAATGGTCTGGCTCCAAAATATTTATCAGATAAACTGAAATTAAAAACGTCGACCGCATCTGGTGTGCGTCTGAGGTCTGACGATTCGAACATTCTTGTGGTTCCTCATAGACAGCTAAAGATTAGATCGCGTCATTTTGCTGCGTCAGGCCCTGTCGTATGGAACGGCTTGCCGTCAGCCCTCAGAATGCCTGGAATGAACATTGCTGAATTTAAAAGACAATTAATGACATACCTTTTTTCATTAGAGTTCATTTTTGTTATTTTGTTATAAATATTAGTTATAATTTGATAGCGTTTGTGAAAACTGCTATAACGAACGCTATATTAAGTTTTCTCCTAATAATAATAATGATAATATATATATATATATATATATATATATATATATATATATATGTGTGTGTGTGTGTGTGTGTGTGTGTGTGTGTGTGTGTGTGTGTGTGTGTGTGTGTGTAACTATGCAATGTTCTGTATATTTTTGCAAAAGTTTCGTCATTTTAGTTGTCTCATCGAAATATTTTTGACAATTTTTAGTTAAGGCACTATTACA